TCTCAAAAAAAAAAAAAAAAAAAGACGCAATTCACAGGGCTGGCAGGTGGAATGGTGGTTAAGGTGCTAGACTCCCTCATGGCTGACCATGGTTCAAGTCCCAGGATTGGCGACTTGCTTTCTCACTTTCCCTCTCTCTGTCTGTGTCTCTGTCTCTGTCTGGTCAAATTAAAATAATACTAATAAATAAAGTTAAATAAAGAATTCTTTCAATAAAAAACACAATTCACTTGGCCATTACATAGTTATGGACAAAAGTACAGCTGATGTTCGCAAATTTGAGAACGCGTGGGCCAGCTGGTGTGGTGGAATTGAAGGTGGCTGGATCCCACATGGCCAACTGTGCTGTGTGAGCCCCAGATCCGCAGCTTGAAAACACCGTGGACACGTGCACACGTGCTCAAACTCCTGAAAGGAGAGACGGCTGACAGGGAAGGGACTGCAGTATGACCAGGCCCAGGGCTGCTGTCCCTCCCTCTCTTTCTCTTTCCTTTTTCTCTCTTTCTCTCTCTCCATCTCCAGGGAATACATTATTCTAGCAAAATTAAAAAAAAAAAATTGTAGAGCTATCTAAGCAATACGTAAAACATGACAAAAAAGTAAAGATTACCCACGATTTTTTCAAGAAATGACTAAAATCATTAGGAATTGTTTTATTCTATGAATGGACTAAATATAAATAAATTATTCATAATAAATAAATATAACTTACATTTATTATAAATACCTATGTTCATGACTAAGAAAGCGTTTCATTCCTCTCATAACTCGAGAACAAGTCAGACCTACCTGGGAGCTCTTCGTCACTTTTGGGCGCTGGGTATTTAAAGAGATTTACAGCCTCTATTAATGTAAGCCTGGAAGAAATGTCATCTGCATTTTTGTGAATCTGGTGGACCAGGGACTCGAACTTCCCGATGGCCTGTTTGCACCGAGTGATGTAGTCAGCAATACCTGTGAAGTAAAAAAGAGAAAAAACAAAGGTGGCTCCCAACTCTTTCCTCTCACCAGCATCTGCAAGACTGCTCTTGTTCCAGCATCTCGAGGGCCTGAGGTGCCAAGGATCCATGGAGCACCTGGAGGCACTGTGCCCAGAATCAACCAAGCAACACGTTCCTCTGGACAATGTGAGCATCATCAGGCCGGCCCTATCGCCTGATGGTCAAGGGAGCTGGATCCCACACCATCAATTTGAGTCCCAGCCCTGGTGGCTTGAAGGCGTTCGTGGAACGTGTGCCTGTGTGCCCCAAATCCCCGCAAAATGGGGAAACGGGGGAAAGGGCTGCAGCTTGACCACGTCCCCTTGGGGTCGCTTTTCTCTCTCCCCTTTGTCTCTGTCTCTCTGTCTCTTCCTGGCAAGCATACACGCCCTCTGGTGGTTAAAAATTAAAAAGCAAAGGTCACTTTATTTTTGGAGGAGAAAGCTTTGGGTTGATAGAGCGTCGAAATGTCATTCCACCTCATCTTTACCCCTCACCAAAGCTAGGAGATTCATTCTAAGTTCCATGAAGTGTATTTTATTAATCCCGAAACACTCTTTGTTAACCACGTCCATTCAATATTTGCATGCAAAAATTGTAATTCAAATAAAATTATCTGAGAGAATTATTTTTGCATGCTGAAGTCTAAAAGGCAAAGACAAACTGGATTACGTACCTAGTGAGTTCCAGTTCAGCCGCTTATACCCAGACCTAAACACTCTGACTAACTCCTGCGCGTGGTCGTCCAGAAGGACCGTCTCCGCCTCGTTCAGTGTCCCGACGAGCATGTGGTAATGATCCAACATCCGCTGGATCCCATCCGTGTACCTGCACGCCACAAGGTCATTAACACCAAAACAGTACAATTTAGCTTGTGAAAACCTGAACAGGGCCAGGACGTTAAGGCACTGGATCCCACATGGCTGACTTCATGGTTTGAGTCCCAGACCCAGTGGCTTGGAAATCACACCGGGTTGTGCATGCGTGCATGCCCAAAATCTCAAGAGGAGGATGGAAGAGGGAAGAGTGTGGCGTGGCCATCCTCACCTTGGAGGAACTGTCTCGCTTCCTCTCTCTCTCAATCTTTGTTTCTGTCTCTGGTGAGTGAGTGTGTCCTATAGCAAGAAAAACTAAGCAGCAAAGGAAACGCTGAACAACCTCCTTAACAGGTTCGAATGACCATGACCTGCCTGTCACCCAGGCAGTCACGCACACCGGCTGACACTGCTCTGCAGGCTGAGGCCCCACGGGAGGCTGGGTTTGATTCCCAGCTCACCCTGAAAATCCAGGCACAGCGGCACACGCCTGCGGTGCAGTGCTCAGGAGGCTGAGGTAGGAGGACGACAGCACTGTAGACCATCTTTGTTTTTTTGTTTGCTTGTAAAAAAAAAAAAAAAAAAAAAACACTGGGTCAGTTCTACAGCCTAGTGAAGAGAGCCAAATTTCACATGGCTGATCCCAGTTCAAATCCCAGCCTTGGCACTTTGACAAGTACACCAGGTGCATGTGCATGCGTGCCCCAAATCCCTTTGGGATGCAGAAATGGAGGAGAAGGGATGGAGACCATGTCCCATCAGGGACTGCTTTCTCCCTCTTTCTCTCGACTTCTCTCTGGTACATACTCTTTAGCAATATAACTGATCGTTTTTTTAAAAAATCACGGACTAGCCTACAACCATAATTGAGAAACTTTGATCATGAGCTTTTAAAAAATGTGAAATAATGCCACTTTTGCTGTCTTTTTTTGACAAAATTTGTTACTTTCCATTAAAATGTCGAGGTGAACATGTTACAGGCATATTATTGTCCTTTTGGGTTGATGAGTAAATCCATACTTAAACATTTCTTAGTTTTAACCTCTAATACGGCGACTATTGTCAGATATAAAATCCACAGAAATGAAAGCTTCCAGAGAGAGGGTCCTCAGTAACTTTCTAGAGCACAAACTTTCTAGAGGGCCAAGACTAGAAAGTTTCTTGCAGATCTAAGAGGAGCATCTTTTTTTTATTTTTAAAGAATTATTTATTTAATTTTATTATTATTATTATTTAATATGGCCAGAGAGAGAGAAAGAAAACAAGTCACCAGGTCCAGGACCAGAACCACGGCTGACCACGTGGGAGTCCAGCGCCTTAACCACCACACCACCTGCAGGCCCAAGGAGCATGTTCTCACCTGAGGAATTTGTCCTCCTGGAGAGCAACGTTTCTTGCTAATTCGGGGACAGTGAACCCCAGCTGTTCCAAGTACTTGGTCTCGTTAATAATCTCTCTGAGAGCAGGGGAGAAGTTGATTGTAAAGACACTGCCCTTCTCCAAGGAGGTGGCCTCCTCAGCACTGGTCGAAGACTGCGGGAGAGAGGGAAAGGTGGCCCGAGGAGCAAGTGGGCTGCACCACCCGAGGAAAAAGCGAACCCATAGCAAAGTAAAAACTAACAATAATAAATAAAGTAAATAGTTTTAAAATAAAAGATAAGGGCGGATCAGGCAAAATGCACTTCTCTACAGGTTAAAAATGGTGGAGTGATCCACTGGTGGCTCAAGGAACACTGCGTGTTACGTCATCGGCCCAGCTCATCTGACGAATGTGGAGACAGGTTTAGAATAGAGCCACTTGCCTGAGGCACCTACGGCCAACCCATTCCAGCCCGTCCCCCTAACCAGGACCTTCTGCCGTCTGCACTCTCTCCTTTCGCCTCTCTTCTCCCAGGTCAATGCTTGCATTCCCTGTCTTTGATTTGGGACGCACCTACCGGTATCCTGCACACCCATGACTCGAACTCAAGACCCGGCCCCACGCCCTGGTCCGCCAGCAGCAGCACCTTAGTGAGCAGGCTCTTCTTCATGAGGCTCGGGAGGACCTGCTCCGTCGTCTCCTTCCACTGCTCGTACTTCTTGTCCTCGTACTCCTTCATGGTCTTGGCCACTTCCAGGTATTTCTGCTTCACCTGAGGAATGCAAGCCCGTCATTCTGTCCTCGGGAACGGCATGTTCGCATCTCTCTCTATGGAGATGAGGGGGCTTCGAAGAGTTTGTGGGCAAATGGAACGAAAGTGTAAGCTTATTTCGGTGCAAAATATCCTTGAAGTCCACACATAGTATTGTCATAATACACATTCTCCATAAATTATTTGAAGGCCCCATAAATATATTTTAGAAAAGGAAATGAGGGGCTGGCAGGTGGCATGGTGGTTGAGGCACTGGACACCCACATGGCTGAATGTGGATCGAGTCCCAGACCTGGTGGCTTGCTCTCTCTCTCGCTCTCGCTCTCTCTCTGTTTCTCTATTCAATTTAAAATAAATGAATAAATAAATAAAGTTAAATAAAATAATTCTTAAAAAAATTTAAGGAAAAGAAAAGAAAACAGATTTGTTTTATTTTGGAGCGTTTGTGTGAGATGGTATTCCTTAGGATCTGGGCTGAATAGCAGGGACTTCCGGGCTTCTTCTGGTACCTGTGAGCTGAGACTGGCTTTTTCCATGTTTAAATGATTAGAAGGAAATCCAAGGACAACTGTGCTTCCTGAGACTTGGAAATTATACCAGATTCAAAGTGCAACAGCCATAAATGAAGTTTTATTGGGACACAGCCATGCCTGTTCATTTCCATATTGTCGGGAGCTACTTCCTTACAACAATGGCAGGTTGCGGAGTGGCAACAAGGACCACGTGACCTCCAGAGGCCTTAGGCATGGCCTACCTAGATCTTTAAAGAAAATGCGTGCCAGCATCTGCTCTATAACAGACAAAATGCTACAGGTTGGGGGGAAGGGATAGTGTCAAAAAGGCAGAGGTCATCCTCCAGGGACACCGAGGACCGAGGGCATACAGAGGTAACCTCTTTGTGGAGGATGGTCTGCTATCTGGATGCCAAAGAGACAGAACACAAGAGGTAGTTTTCAGGCTGAGCCCTGGGCTGGCCCCTGGAGCCTGGTGGTAAAGGGAGCTGGATCTCATACAGGTGACTGCAGTTCGAATCCCGGCTCTAACAACTTGAAAAACATGCTGGGCACATGTGTGTGCAACCCCAAATCCCACCAGGATGAAGAAACAGAAAAGAAGGGATTGTGGTGTAATCATGCCCTGTTGAGGGGTACTCTCGCCCTCTCTGTGGCTCTCTATCTCTCTCTGGCAAGCTCACGCATCCTCTGGCAATCAAATAAATAAACGTGAGCCTGTGCCAGGCGCATGCGCAGGTGTGCCTAAAATCCCGAGGAGAATGGAGGAGAATGGACTGCTACATAGCCATCCCCCTGGGGGGCTGATTTCTCACTTTGTCTCTTTGTCTCTCCCTGACTCTCTGGCAAGCATACACACCCTAAAACAAAAATCTCTCTCTAAAAATAAATAAATAAACAAATTAATGAATTAATGTAAGCCCTAAATCGTGGTGCACAGGAAGGACCTCTACCTGTAGGTGTGGATTTGGGATAGAGCTGCTTCTCACACAGGCAACCCTCCGTGGCCTACACTGGGTGTCCTCACCTGGACATAATGGTTCTCCTGGGTGACAGCAGAGAGGCCCCCCCACCTAGGAATTAAAACCTGAAACACAAAAGGAGACGGTCCCAGCGGAGCGACAGACCTCCTGCCCTCGCTCGCTGTTCAGTATCTCCTCCACTTCCTGAAACCTGAGGATGGTGTGCTTGATGCGATGGAACAGAGACCGTTCCCAGTAGATGGCGCCCGCCACCGGGGGGTGATTCTTGTACAGCGGCGGGTTTTCGAGGTTCTGGACAAAGATTTTATTCACTATGTCAATCTGAAAAGCAATCAAAACGGATTCTGTAAATGATAAACATCACCATGTCAGACAACGAAGACTTCAGTCGCGAGTTGAATCTTTAAAGAAATGAACGTTGGAATACCAGCGAACAGTCTAAGCTATGGGGTAGGACTTCTAGGACTCCCTTATGAGTTACGACTTTTTCGTATGCTCTCTGGTCGTTTCTTTGGTTCCACAGTGATGCAAAGCTCCAGACTGTAATTTGAGATGCACACTGTGTGTATCAGTTTGACAGAATCATTAGCAACCATGGGATGTGCTCTAGAAATGACCAGGGACTGACCTGCGTTTTAAAAGAAGCATTTCTGAGCTCTCAACGGGGTAGTCAGATGTGCAGGCACAATAATGACCTACGCCCTGACCCAAAAATCTGACATGCGGACCCCTAGGACCTGTGACCACGCTCCATCACGTGACCCGGGACTCCAGCCAATCAGCTGACCATAACAGAGACGGTCCTGGCTTTCTGGGCAGGTGCACTGCAACCACAGTCCCTAAGACAAAGAGGAGGAGGCGGAGAAGAGGGCAGCGTGGCCTGACATGGAGCCGTCCATGGCCGGCTTTGCAGGGGAAGGCGGCCACGAGCCTCTAGAATCGAGGAAAACCAAGAAACGGCTTCTCTATGGTGACTCTAAAACGGAAGGGAGCCCTGCCAACACCTTGACTGGGACCCAATGAGGGGGCCAGATGGTGGCTCAGCCGTAACAGAGCTAGACCCACATGGGAAGGTCCTGGGTTCATGTCCTGAGGCCTCTCTGAACCATGCCAAGGGCATGCACACCTGGCCATGAGCCTGGCTGCCTGAGGCTGGGGCGGATTGTGGCATGAAGACCCTATTGGGGGTTCCCCTCTCTCCCTCTCCAGAAAAGAAAAAGAAACGAACCCAGTGAGACCTGTGGCAAACCTTGGACCTCCAGCACCATAATAACTGCACTGCGGGAAGTCACTCAGGCTGTGGTGACCTGTTGCCATGACAACAGGAAACGACTTCATCAGGAGGCCCCGTGAGCCTTTATGTATCATGTATGCTGACGGACTG